TGAGATGTCGGTGGTGAGGGGGGAGTGTGTGTGTGTCTGGATATTTGGTGTGGGGTGTGTGTGTGTGTGTGTGTGTGTGTGTGGTGTGTGGGGGTGTGGTGTGTTGTGGGGTGTGTGTGTGTGTGAATGTGATATATGTGTGTGGTGTGTGTGTGTGTGTGGTGTGTGTGTGTGTGTGTATGTGTGTGTGTATGTGTGTGTGTATGTGTGTGTGTATTTGTGTATGTGTGTGTGTATGTGTGTGTGTGTAAAGTGTGTGTGTGTATGTGTGGGAAAGGGTAGGTATGCGGGGAGATACTGTTAATACATACCCGTAATTTCTGGGTTATAAAAAACGATAATTGCTACTAGGGTCTAAAGCTTCAATAAGTGTCTGCCCTTGTGTGTGGGGTGTGAGGGAGGGATGGTTAGGGGGGGGGAGATCCGTTATACCTCTCTGTTTTGTCTTTCCTAGAAATGCTACACTCTTCGCTTATTGTCCTTTCTGGATTTAAGTATCAATTATTGCTGTTATTATTCTAATTTCCCTTTTTCACGTTTAGAGAGGACTTCCTAGCTTCCTAAGTGTTCTTACTACTAATAACTACTGTAATAGCTTTCAGGAGTGATGACCAGTATCTAACAGCGATGCCCAAAGGGCCCAAACCAAGCCAAACCTGCGACATGCAAACCACAATATAGGTGATACTTGCGCTGGCAACGGTCGTACCAAGTTGCCAGATGCTGATGACGTAGTCGTCGTACGTAGCCTAAATCCCTATTTTTTGGGGATCCTTCATCTGTGATGATTATAACCACATGTGTTCATACATCCCTCGTTCCTCACGCGATTTCACTTTTCACTTATGATAGTATACGCTTCACATTATATACACTTCACTTTATATGTATAATGGCACACAACTTGTCGTGACATCACTGCTTCAGGCCTACCGCTGCCTAGTAGACCAAAACGTTTGGATAATTTTGGATAATGGATAATTTCAGGCTTTCTCACGACTTTTTCTAACTAATAACTTTAGTTATCACTCGTATTATTGCTCACTGACGATGTCACTACCACTGATTACTGTTAGCAGTCACTGCACCCTTAAAAACACTAGGATTCTCGGAGCCTTGTGTGCCCACGTCTGCACCCACGGACCCACGCGCCCTCATGTGCGTGTGTGTGTCCTCATGTGTGTGCGTGCACCCTCATGTGTGTATGTGAGCCCTCATGTGTGTGTGTGCACCCTCATGTGTTTGTGTGTGCCCTCATGTGTGTGTGCGTGCGTGCGACCTCATGTGTGTGTGCGCCCTCATGTGTGTGTGTGCACCCTCATGTGTGTGTGTGTGCCCTCATGTGTGCATGTGTGCTCCCTCATGTGTGTGTGTGTGTGTGCACCCTCATGTGTGTGTGTGCGCCCTCGTGTGTGTGTGCGCCCTCATGTGTGTGTGTGCACCCTCATGTGTGTGTGTGTGCATGCTCCCTCATGTGTGTGTGCACGCCCTCATGTGTGTGTGGGCCCTCATGTGTGTGCGTGCGTGCGCCCTCGTGTGTGCGTGCACCCTCATGTGTGTGTGCGTGCGCCCTCGTGTGTGTGCATGCGCCCTCATGTGTGTGCGTGCGCCCTCGTGTGTGTGTGTGCACGTCCTCATGTGTGTGTGTGCATGCACCCTCGTGTGTGCGTGCGCCCTCATGTGTGTGTGCGCCCTCATGTGTGTGTGTGTGCACCCTCATATGTGTGTGTGCGCCCTCATGTGTGTGTGTGCACCCTCATGTGTGTGTGTGTGTGTGTGCGCCCTCGTGTGTGTGTGCAAAGTTCAAAGTCCTGGAAGTCACCTCTGCCAAGTCTTACTTATAAGGCTTATGCACTGGAGGATAATGAAGTGATTCCTCCAGAACTCTCTTAGGGTCGATTCAGTGTCCGAGGTCACTTCAAAGCACCTTTGAAACATTGCTTTCGTGTAGAGTTTCTTGAAGTTAGAAATGACCTGCTGGTCATTTCTCATCCATGGGCTGGATGAGAGGAGTGGTGTTAGGAGGCAAGAACTTCACTGTTATAAAACTGAAGTTCCCAAACAATTGGTCTTCCAAATCTGGAGGATGAGCAGGAGCATTGTCCAGTACCAGGAGGCACTTGAGTGGCAATTTATTTTCCAGGAGGTATTTTTTCACACACGGGCCAAACACTTCATGGACCCAGTCAATGAAAATTTCCCTTGTAACCCGTGCCTTATTATTAGCTTCCTACATCACATACAATGTACTCTTGATGACATTGTTTTTCTTGAACACTGGGATTTTCAGAGTGATACACCAGTAAAGGCTTCACTTTGAAATCCCCACTAGAGTTACCACAGAACAAAAGAGTTAGCCTATCCTTTATAGGCTTGTGTCCTGGCAGTGCCTTTTCTTCCTGTGTGATGTAGGTCCTCTTTGAGATTTTCTCTGAAAAGAGGCCTGTTTCGTCACAACTGAAGACTTGTTGGGGGACGAATCTTCCAGCCTCTATGTACTCCTTGAATTCATCAATGAATTCATCGGCCCCACGTTTGTCCGAACTTTCAGTCTCGCCATGCCTTACCACACTGTGCATGCCACTACGCTTCTTGAATCTGTCGAACCAGCCTCTGCTGGCCTTAAATTCACTAACAGCAGCACTCGTTCCAGGCATTTTACGAGATCCACATGCAACTGCCTTGCCTTTTCGCAAATGATCGACTCCACAACACTATCTCCCACTAACTGTTTTCCGTTGATCCACACCAACAACAACGTCTCCACATCTTCGATTATTTGTGATCTCTGTTTCGTTAGTATATTTACCCCTTTTGCAACCTCAGCTTCCTTGATTTCTACTTTTTTTGCCAGAATGGAACTGATTGTTCATTTGGACTTGCCATACATCCTGGCGAGCTCAGCCACACGTACACCACCTTCGTATTTTCTCTACAATCTCTTTCTTGAATTCTATCATGTTTCTCACCTTTACCAAAGGGCTGGCACTAGGATCTTTCTTTGGGCCCATGGTGGCTTATTTCACAGTCGCACTCAATAAACAAGCACAAAAAACAATGGATTATTACGAAATTTTCGGATGAATGCTCATTCAACCAGTGACAGAGCCAGACTGAGACATGTATCCTGGGTGGGCGGATGCGTCTGATATGGACGATTTCCGGGACGAGGTACGAAATCTGGAGCAAAATTTCGCCGAAAACAGTGGTCGAAATCCGAATCCTATAATATCTGGTGCGGACAAAATCCGGGGTTCCACTGTATATATCCTCGGTACACATTTCCTACTCTTATTCTTTTATGAATACCTTCCTTATTTTTTGGGGGGTTTCCCTTTATGTTTCTATGTTGTCACTCACAGTAGACAACATAGCTGTTGTACAGCCTTTCATGCTCTACCATTTTCAAATATCCCCTTAACTACCATTTATACCCATTCACAGTCATTCCTAACTCATCTGCTTCCCATCTTTCTTCTATCCATCTGTCTTCTATTTTGCTCCTTGTTTCGGCATCCCTGCAGCCCAGGTTTAACCACAAACTTTCTGTTTCGTATCTCCACGCACATCGGGTATAAATGTATATTTGATCTTACCTCACTTTGTGTCTAGTCTTTCTGTCATCTGGGTTGCCTTTGTTTCCATTTCCCTTTCACGGTGAATTTATCTTAGATATTTCTTATATAAGGATAGTCTCCTGTAGTTTGAGTTTGTGTCCTTGCATTCCATTTGTCTCTCCAGTCCCTCAGTGGTCATTGTTTTTTTCCTATATCTGATCCGTTTAGTGACCATCAGGTCAAATTTTGCCAGGTCTTTTCTCATTTCTCTTTTGTACCTTTACTCATTTGTTGGCTCCAACTTTTCCATTCATGCCTCATTGGCTTTGCTCTCCACGTTCCTGGCCCTCTTGCTATGAGGGAGGTCCCATTTGTTAAAAAAATTAGTTTGAAGTCCCTAAAATCAGTAGCTTTGCCTCTGTCCTCATTGCTCTCTGTGCTGTCATCAATGAGATTTTTATTGTTGGTCTGTTGTTTTCCTAGTAATACATCCTCGGCCTTCCTATGTTCGGTAGGTATCTCTATACCTCTGTTATTATTATCTTCGGTCCTCCTATCTTAAATATTCCTGCAACAGTTTTATTCCATTTCCGTGTGTTCAAGTTTTTAAAGTTCTCATTTCTCCAGTGGTTTTGTGTAAGAAGCGCCACTCCTCTCTCTCTCTTTCCATTTTCTTTTTCACTCGGGTATCCCTCTGGCAAATTGTATTTGTTATATCCGTTGTGATTATTGTTTATGAGGTCTAAGATCCCTGGTTGTTCTACTGAAATTCTGTTATTCGGATCACCACTTTTGTTAATAATGTTACCAACCGGACTGTGGCTAGTATGTTGGATTGCGCGCAGCCAGCAGTAACACCCTGGTTGATCAGGCCCTGATCCATCATGAGGCCTGATCACAGACCAGGCTGTGGGGGTGTTCATCCCCGGAACTCTCTCCAGGTAAACTCCAGGTAAACATGGGGGAAAAAAAGGAGACAAAATGCTGTATAATGCGATCTTTTACTGGCGACGTTTCGCCCACACAATGGGCTTTGTCAAGTCAGAAAATCGGATCTGTTTGTGATTTGATAAAGCCCACCATGTGGCTGAAACATCGTCACTGAAGGATTGTATTATACTGCACCTGTATCTCTTTTTTCATCATATCTGTATTTTATAACATTTATCTCCGCCTCACTCTCAAATTGCTCTCTCACAATTTTTTGGCTCTTTTGAGGGTCTTCACGGCTTGTTATTAAATGGTGGGTTGTATGCAGTTAAATTTATTTTTTTATTTTTTTTTTTTTAAGATTTCTATCACATCGATTTCTACATTGAAGTATTTGGATTTTTCATTTTAATTTTGTAGCTTGTACCGTTTTATTATCAACATGTCGTGCTCCAATGCTTATTTTTCATTATCATGATTCTTCTAACTCGGAGATGGTCTTTCTTGTTATAGGTACTGATTATGTGGGCGTCCATTGAGGGCGTAAGTGGTCCAGTAAATTGGAATAAGATACATCTGGAGACCTCCAGGGAAAAGATGTATGAGACCATTGGTCTTATCATGGCTGTTCTTCCACCGGTCCTGGTGCTTGTGACCACATTCTTCCTCCTGGTACACACACGTCAGGTCAGTACCTTCACTTCTTCCACCTCAGCCTTCTCATAGTTTGTTCACTGGGAGGGGGTGTAATGTAACGTATAAACTCAGTAGAATATAAAAACTGTTGGGACAGTTTCAATGCACTGTGGTTCGATTCCCAGCAAGGGTAGAAACATTGGACGTGTTTCCTTTCATGTTTGGTAGCAGAGCAGGTGCTGCGCAACTTAATATTAAGATCGACAACACTATAATTGCCAGACATAATGAGGGCAAATTTCTAGACCTATACCTCGACAACAACCTGAATTTCAGCACCCATATCCAACACATATCAAAAAAAGTATCCAAAACAGATGGGATCCTCTCCAAGATACGATACTACATGCCGCAAAATGCCCTTCTCACACTATACCATTCACTCATTTATCCATACCTCACGTATGTTATTTGTGCTTGGGATCAACTGCAGCAATACACTTAAAGCCAATAATAACTCAACAAAAAGCTGCAATAAGAATAATCACTAATTCCCATCCCTGGCAACACCCCCCCCCCCACTCTTCATAGATCTAAACTTACTCCCTGTTCAGAACATCCACACTTACTACTGTGCAATCTACATCTACAGGACCTTAAATTCCAATATTAACCTTGACCTAAAATGCTTTCTTGATAGTTGTGATAGGACCCACAGGCATAACACCAGACACAAACATCTCTACGACATTCCCCGTGTCCGACTAAACCTTTACAAAAACTCAATGTATGTCAAAGGCCCTAAAATCTGGAACACTCTACCTGAAAACTCTAGAACAGCAGACACATTCATCACCTTCAAAACTACTGTTAGAAAACATCTTATCTCCCTGATACACCCCGTCAACTAACTACATAAAACCAACTGGTGGTACACATTTACACTCACTCACTCACCCATTTGACTATAAGCACAGAAATACGCATCCTAATCTTAAAATAATGATTCCAAACTAGTCATAAGTTGCCTATGATACTCCAATATAGAAACTATGTATTGTGCGAAAACAAAAGCATTCACATTGCTAAACTCACAAACTAGTATTTGTCACTTAGTATTTAGTCACTTAGTATTTAGTTAACTTACTCCACAATTTGTTATAATTTAGGGTTAAGAATTAATCTAAGTTTGCCCGAAATGCCTAGCCTTGCTAGGTGTAATAGTGGCCCCCTCTGTAATTATTTTACTACATGTAAACCACACAATAACCAAAATCTGAAAACCCTGCATTGTAATCCTTATAGAGAATAAACTTTGATTTGATTGATTTGATAAAATGGGTACGTGGGTGCTAGTCGACTGGTGTGGGTGGCATCCTGGGACAAAACTGACCTAATTTGCCCGAAATGCTCAGCATAACAAGCGGCTTTCTATACAGTAGCATGTCATTGATGTCAGCTATGGTCTGTATACCTTGTACATGTACTTGTAGTAAATAAAGATATTATTATTATTATTATTATTATTATTATTATTATTATTATTATTATACTCTCCAGAACGCAGGAAAAATCTCATCTATACATGAAAAAAGTCTCGAGGGACAAATGCATATATATCTTTTATTAATTTATTGGATTGAAAGATAGGAGAGGAAGTGTACAGAAACCCACTGAAAAGTAGAGATACTATAGATAACTGGAGAACAATGTGTCCTCCGCCCTTTTTACAAACAAGAGATATGAAATTTGCGCCTGATTAATAAAGTGTTTGTTAATGATTAAATTAACAGAAACAGTAACACACCAGATAAAAAAAATACAATATGAAATGAGGAAAAATAAGGCAAATAAGTACAGAGAGTTAACTTTTTCTACTGAGTCTGAAGTTGGCAGGACCGTAAGTTAGCAGGGTCGTAAGTTAGCAGGGTCGTAAGTTAGCAGGGCCGTAAGTTAGCAGGGTCGTAAGTTAGCAGGGTCGTAAGTTAGCAGGGCCGTAAGTTAGCAGGGCCGTAAGTTAGCAGGGTCGTAAGTTAGCAGGGCCGTAAGTTAGCAGGGCCGTAAGTTAGCAGGGTCGTAAGTTAGCAGGGTCGTAAATTAGCAGGGCGGTAAGTTAGCAGGGTCGTAAGTTAGCAGGGCGGTAAGTTAGCAGGGTCGTAGGTTAGCAGGGCGGTAAGTTAGCAGGGCGGTAAGTTAGCAGGGCGGTAAGTTAGCAGGGTCGTAAGTTAGCAGGGCGGTAAGTTAGCAGGGCCGTAAGTTAGCAGGGCCGTAAGTTAGCAGGGCCGTAAGATAGCAGGGCCGTAAGTTAGCAGGGTCGTAAGTTAGCAGGGCGGTAAGTTAGCAGGGCCGTAAGTTAGCAGGGTCGTAAGTTAGCAGGGCCGTAAGTTAGCAGGGCGGTAAGTTAGCAGGGTCGTAAGTTAGCAGGGTCGTAAGTTAGCAGGGTCGTAAGTTAGCAGGGCCGTAAGTTAGCAGGGCCGTAAGTTAGCAGGCGGTAAGTTAGCAGGCCGTAAGTTAGCAGGGTCGTAAGTTAGCAGGGCCGTAAGATTAGCAGGGCGGTAAGTTAGCAGGGTCGTAAGTTAGCAGGGTCGTAAGTTAGCAGGTGTCGTAAGTTAGCAGGGCGTAAGTTAGCAGGCGCGTAAGTTAGCAGGGTCGTAAGTTAGCAGGGTCGTAAGTTAGCAGGGCGGTAAGTTAGCAGGGCCGTAAGTTAGCAGGGCGGTAAGTTAGCAGGTTCGTAAGTTAGCAGGGCGGTAAGTTAGCAGGGCCGTAAGTTAGCAGGGCCGTAAGTTAGCAGGGCCGTAAGATAGCAGGGCCGTAAGTTAGCAGGGTCGTAAGTTAGCAGGGCGGTAAGTTAGCAGGGCCGTAAGTTAGCAGGGTCGTAAGTTAGCAGGGCCGTAAGTTAGCAGGGTCGTAAGTTAGCAGGGCGGTAAGTTAGCAGGGCCGTAAGTTAGCAGGACCGTAAGTTAGCAGGGTCGTAAGTTAGCAGGGCCGTAAGTTAGGAGGGCCGTAAGTTAGCAGGGCCGTAAGTTAGCAGGGCCGTAAGTTAGCAGGGCCGTAAGTTAGCAGGGCCGTAAGTTAGCAGGGCCGTAAGATAGCAGGACCGTAAGATAGCAGGACCGTAAGTTAGCAGGGCCGTAAGTTAGCAGGGCCGTAAGTTAGCAGGGCCGTAAGTTAGCAGGGCCGTAAGTTAGCAGGGCCGTAAGATAGCAGGGCCGTAAGTTAGCAGGGCCGTAAGTTAGCAGGCCGTAAGTTAGCAGGCCGTAAGTTAGCAGGGCCGTAAGTTAGCAGGGCCGTAAGTTAGCAGGGCCGTAAGATAGCAGGACCGTAAGATAGCAGGACCGTAAGTTAGCAGGGCCGTAAGTTAGCAGGGCCGTAAGTTAGCAGGGCCGTAAGTTAGCAGGGCCGTAAGTTAGCAGGGCCGTAAGATAGCAGGACCGTAAGTTAGCAGGGCCGTAAGTTAGCAGGGTCGTAAGTTAGCAGGGCGGTAAGTTAGCAGGGCCGTAAGTTAGCAGGGCCGTAAGTTAGCAGGGCCGTAAGATAGCAGGACCGTAAGTTAGCAGGGCCGTAAGTTAGCAGGGCCGTAAGTTAGCAGGGCCGTAAGTTAGCAGGGCCGTAAGTTAGCAGGGCCGTAAGTTAGCAGGGCCGTAAGTTAGCAGGGCCGTAAGATAGCAGGACCGTAAGTTAGCAGGGCCGTAAGTTAGCAGGGCCGTAAGATAGCAGGACCGTAAGTTAGCAGGGCCGTAAGTTAGCAGGGCCGTAAGATAGAAGGGCCGTAAGTTAGCAGGGCCGTAAGTTAGCAGGGCCGTAAGTTAGCAGGGCCGTAAGTTAGCAGGGCCGTAAGTTAGCAGGGCCGTAAGTTAGCAGGGCCGTAAGTTAGCAGGGCCGTAAGATAACAGGGCCGTAAGTTAGCAGGGCCGTAAGATAGCAGGGCCGTAAGATAGCAGGACCGTAAGTTAGCAGGGCCGTAAGTTAGCAGGGCCGTAAGTTAGCAGGGCCGTAAGATAGCAGGGCCGTAAGTTAGCAGGGCCGTAAGATAGCAGGGCAGTAAGATAGCAGGACCGTAAGTTAGCAGGGCCGTAAGTTAGCAGGGCCGTAAGTTAGCAGGGCCGTAAGTTAGCAGGACCGTAAGTTAGCAGAGCCGTAAGTTAGCAGCGCCGTAAGTTAGCAGGGACGTAAGATAGCAGGGCCGTAAGATAGCAGGACCGTAAGTTAGCAGGGCCGTAAGTTAGCAGGGCCGTAAGTTAGCAGGGCCGTAAGTTAGGAGGGCCGTAAGTTAGCAGGGCCGTAAGTCAGCAGGGCCGTAAGATAGCAGAGCCGTAAGATAGCAGGGCCGTAAGTTAGCAGGTCCGTAAGATAGCAGGGCCGTAAGTTAGCAGGGCCGTAAGATAGCAGGGCCGTAAGATAGCAGGGCCGTAAGTTAGCAGGACCGTAAGTTAGCAGAGCCGTAAGTTAGCAGGGCCGTAAGTTAGCAGGACCGTAAGTTAGCAGAGCCGTAAGTTAGCAGCGCCGTAAGTTAGCAGGGCCGTAAGATAGCAGGGCCGTAAGATAGCAGGACGGTAAGTTAGCAGGGCCGTAAGTTAGCAGGGCCGTAAGTTAGCAGGGCCGTAAGTTAGGAGGGCCGTAATTTAGCAGGGTCGTAAGAATGCAGGGCCGTAAGTTAGCAGGGCCGTAAGATAGCAGGACCGTAAGATAGCAGGACCGTAAGTTAGCAGGGCCGTAAGTTAGCAGGGCCGTAAGTTAGCAGGGCCGTAAGTTAGCAGGGCCGTAAGTTAGCAGGGCCGTAAGATAGCAGGGCCGTAAGTTAGCAGGGCCGTAAGTTAGCAGGGCCGTAAGTTAGCAGGGCCGTAAGTTAGCAGGGCCGTAAGTTAGCAGGGCCGTAAGTTAGCAGGGCCGTAAGATAGCAGGACCGTAAGATAGCAGGACCGTAAGTTAGCAGGGCCGTAAGTTTAGCAGGGCCGTAAGTTAGCAGGGCCGTAAGTTAGCAGGGCCGTAAGTTAGCAGGGCCGTAAGATAGCAGGACCGTAAGTTAGCAGGGCCGTAAGTTAGCAGGGCCG